ATTTTTAACCAGTTTTTAACCAGTTTTTTCATTAGCTGGTTTAGCTGCTTTGGGGCCTTTTGCTGTGTTTATGTTTCTGTGACTTTCATAGATTTCCTAGACATTACAGCTGGAAGGGACCTCGGAAGATCATCAAGTCCAGCCCCCTGCCCCAGGGGCAGGAAGTTAGCTGAGGTCACAGGATCCCAGCAAGATAAACATCCAAATGACTCTTAAAGGAGTCCAGAGTCAGTGCTTGCACCACCTCTGGCAGCAGTCTGTTTCAGGCCTTGGGGGCTCAAACTGTAAGGAAGTTCTTCCTTATGTCCAGCCTGAAACAGTCTTGGAGAAGTTTGTGACTGTTTGACCTTGTCATCCCATGGGGTGCTCTGGTGAACAGGTGTTCCCCCAGACTTGGTGTTGGCCCCTTAAAAATAGCTATGGCTAGCAACACTGCACTCCTCTACCTTTTTTTGTTTGATTCATATCCCAACCAGGGAAACCTAAAACCACATGACTAAAATTGTAAATGTCTCTTCCTAATGGAAATAGCTCACTGTTTCCCCCCAAATACTAGCCAAGTACTCCAGCTGAGGACATAGATCTGGTGCATGTGACACACAATATGGGAACATGGAATAAAGGTGCAGAGGTTCTAGTGTATGAAGGAAACTACATACGAGGGTGCAAATGAAAAGATGGTATAAAGGAACCAAGGGAAGGAAGGGCTGTTGGTCTGGAGAAGCAGGAAGAGAAGTTTGGGAATACTCTAAGAGTACAGAGAAGGGCTGTTTTGGACTTGCGTATCTTAAATCCTTACTTGACTAAAACTAGTTTTATGGATGCTGTGAAACAGTATCACCATTTTAGGTATGGGGACCTAGAACGCATAACTCTTCTTTCGGAATTCTGCTTACAGGCAGAGATACCTAAGTTTAAGGCACTACGATACACAAGCCTTGATGAGCAAGGCCTATATGTTGACATTTTGCTAAATGCCATCAACATGGATAAAAATCTTTCAACTGAGAGTTGTTTGAGTTAAAAAAATGATAGAGTTGGTATTTCTAATGTATGTTCTTTGTAAATAAATTCAGTTTATACACATTTATATTGAAACAGCTATAATACCTATAAGAATAGCACACAGGATGCATACAATATTCTCTTAAATATAAGACACCCTCATTAGAAGAAATATTTTTAAAAGAATGACACCTGCACCCTGAAGAAGAATTAGTAAGCTAAGCAAGGGGGTCCAAGTGGGTTAAATATGGGTTATATATAAGGTTAAATTGCAGCCAGTGCACCTGTAGAACACAGATGAACACTGCTGCTGCTTCCCCCACCCCCTTCCCCACCACAAAATTCAGAGTCTTCAGTCACTGATGAAACTTCCCACAAAATTTTTAAACCATATGTTGTTTCTGAAATACTCATTGTCAGAAAAGAGAAGACATTATTTTATTTTCTCATCCCAAGTGTCAAACTCTTTCATTACAATCCAAAGATGAGATTTAGATCTAGTGGTACCACTTCCACCATCACTTTGGCTGCACTACCTTTGGGGTCTCAGGGCTCTCTCTTCTGATTTCAGTTTCCTGACCCCACTGGGCACGGGGCAGTATGATGTGGTTGAGGAAGCCATTAGTTCAAGGAGGCTTGGGGCCCAGTGTGCCAGAGCTGCACCATGAGGTGCAGTGCAGTGGGAAGGCACCTGTACACAAGGCTGTCCCTGGGTGGGGGGAGTGGGGGAATCAGGGCAATTGCCCAGTGCCCCGTGCTTTGGCAGGCCCCGCAGAGCAGGGTGGAGCAGTCTCAGCTCCTCCTCCAGGGCCCACTTAGTGCTGGTAACTGCGTCACTGCCGACACTGCTTTGTGTCTGGTCGCTTGCTACCCCCCTGCCAGATTCTTCATGTCCTAGCAGGGTGTGGGGCCTGGGGAAAATCAGCCTGTATGGGTCCCATACAGGCTGATTTTCCCCAGGCCCCGCACCCTACTAGGATCGTCTCGTCTCGTCCCTGCCCATGCAGCATAGTAGGGTGCAGTGAAAGCATGTGCACCATGTGGCCTAGGGGGCTGCAGACTGCTCAGTGTTGGAGAGATGTCAGACACCCCTGATCTAGACAGTAAGGCATTTCAATCAGTACTAAATAGCACCTTCCTTCCATGATTTTTAAGAAAACATGACTATTTTCATAGTACTATGACATGCTATATTCACATGAGTGCTGAAATCTTGTGATATAATATAGAAATAATGTAGGTTAGTATTAGTAAACACAGTACTTTTTAAAATGCAACTTCTGTTTTGAAATAAATGTTTAACATTGAGTTCAGAATATTTATGTTCAGGAAATTTCAAGAATATTTGGTAGAATGAAAACAAAGTTCAAAAGTTTGTACAAAACAGTTTTCTCCAGCTCTATTTAACATCAGCCAGTTTTGTCTCAGCCCAAAAACCATGAGACTTTAAGCAGATCTTTGTCTTTGCCTGAGTTCTCCCACCTATAAAATGAAGATTATGAGGTTGATTTAGCCTCCTTCGTAAACTGTTTCAAGACTAAAGTGCTATGTAAAGGGAAGGTAGTATTTTAATATAATAAAGGACTTAGTCTGTCTGTATGTCTGTAATGCTTTTGATCAAGTGTGCATGTGCCACTGAGATAGGGTTACCACACATCCGTGTCCTCTTTTTTAAGCCCTCTGATCTCAGTCAGGGCTTGTTTTTTTAAAATCTGCCCAAATGTCCAGGACTTTCCTTTGTTCCAGGGGCAGCAAGGAGTACACACATACCTGCCTGCAGCTGTGGAGGTGCAGACCCATGCAGTGCTCCCTGCTGCCTCTGATTGCCTCCCACTGCTTCCACTCCCAGAGCACAGCAAAATCCCGGACATCTGGTCAGGGCAGGGGAGGTGGAGGCTAGGGCTGCAACAGGGCAAGGCGGGCGGGAAGGACTGCCCATTCTTCAGTGAGGGAAAAGGGGTGGGGGGAGGTTGGAGGTCAGCAAGGAACTCGGTGGCTGGGACGGCAGAACGGGCTGTGGCCTGTGCTCTGCTTGCAGGGGCTGAGCAGCCACGAATTGCTTAGGGGGCGGGGGGGGAGGGAGGGAGCCATGGCCAGCTGCCTGGTGCAGTGTGGAAGCCTCATCCCAGGGCAGGGGTGCCACAGCCTCCCCATCTTCTTCCCTCCAGCCCGCACTGGGGCCAGACACACTCTGCTGCCACCTGCTGACCATTTTGCTTTGTTCTGGCATTGATGTGCCAGGCCCTTGAAGGGGAACACGTGCACAGTTATTTGGGGCCAAGTAGGTGTTACAGAGTGTTTGGATTTACCTCTGGGTATGAATCAGCCCCATTGCCACTTTTTAATAAAAAGTTCAGTATCAGAGCCACCACGCTCTGGCCAGTCAGGATGGGGACAGCTGGGGCCCTTCTGGTAGGGCTGGTGGGGTAGGGGGCTGCAGGTCAGGAGTGTGGGGCACTAGCGTGGGGGCAGGGGATTGTGGGTTGGGAGTGCGGGGGGCACTGGCAGTGCTGGGGGACTATAGGTCAGGAGTCAGGGGCACCAGCAGGGATGGGAGGCAGGGGGCTGTAGGTCAGGAGTAAGGGGCACCATCGGTGCCCAGGGGAGCAGGGTACTGCAGTTTGGTGAGTGAGGGCACTGGCAGGGATGGAGTCAGTGGGTTGGGAGCAGCAGGGCTGGGGGGACTGTGGCTTGGTAGTGAGGGGCAACAGAATGGACAGGGGCAGGGGCACCCTTTGGGGCTGGCCATGTAAGCACTCCTTTGAAATCTGTCATTCATGATGGGCAATTGGCTAGTTATTAATATGAGGTCAGCTCAGCTTTATGTTTATGGAAGCTCAGGACAAAATAATAACACAATTGTAACAGAACTCTTTTTATATTCATTTATTTTGCTCTACAAACATCCCAGTATCTCATTAAATGTGATTGGAGTATGGTTGAACAGCTCTGTAGTTAGTACGTATAAATTGTAACTTCAACATAATAAATTACAAGTTGCATTTTGTACATAAAAAGTTTATTATACCTGAGATTACAGAATGAATTTGAAAAAACAGTCCCTGCATATATGTAAACAGCTGGATGGATATTTGATGTATACAGCAAAAACTAAGCATCTATGTACTGACCATAACACATGATATATAATCAACAAATTAAGGCAGGTATTTTTTCCCCTCTTGTGCTACTTGAAAATGAAAAATAAATAGTTATATCCATGGTCAGCTAAACATATATTTGTTTAGTTTTAGGAACAAGAGGAACATTACTTACTTCCATGGAAAAAATCAGAGCATTAAATCTATTACACAGTAAACACATTAGAATTTAGGATGTCAGCATCAGCCAGCTCATCAAAAAGTAAGAACTACATAACCTCTATACAGTTTGGATCCAGATAGGTCCAGCAAAGATCAAATTCTACACTCATCTGAGCAGTTCTGCTGAAGTGGATAGGATATTCTGTGTGGGTAAAGACTATAAGGTTTG